TAATTTGCATTTCCCTAGTGACACTAAGCATGTTTTCATGTGCTTATTGGCCATCTGTATATGTGTATTCAAGTGGCTATCTGTTCCCCATATGCAACATCCAGTGGTGGATATCCACATGGGAAAAGATGGAATGGATTATAGGTCAAAATGGAAATGCTAAAAACTACTTCTAAAAGAAAAAGTAGAAAACCTTTGTGACCTTGGAATAGGCAGATTTCTAAAATAGGATGTAAAATAACACATGCTATGAAAGAAACAATTGTAAATTGGACTCTATCAAAATTAAAACTGTTTTTTCTTTGGAAGGACACTATTCGAAAAATTACATGGCAAGGCATAGTATGGGAGAAAATATTTATAGTACATGTATCTGACAAAAGACTTGTATCTAGAATATGTAGAGAACTTTTACAACTCAAAGAAGACAAACAGCCCAGTCAAACAATGTACAAAAAAGATTTTTACAGACGTTTCCCAAAAGAACGTATATAACCGTGAATTGATGCTCAACACGTGCTATCAAAGATATATATGAAAGAGAGAATGAATATGAATGCGAATTATAAACCACAGTGTGATACCACTATACACCTGTTAGGAAGGCTGAAATTATAAAGGCTGACAAAACCAGGTCTGGTTATGATGTGATGAAACTGGAAGACTCATACACTGCTGATGGGAATATAAAATGGCACAACCACTTTGGAAAACAGATTGGCAACTTTTTATAAAGTTTAAGATAACTTACCATTTGACCAAACAGTTTTATTCCTAGATATTTAGTCAAGAGAAATGAAAACACTTCTCACAAAGACTTGAAGTTGAAAGTTCATAGCATGGGGCTTGGGGAGGGAGTAGATTGACTCCACAGGAGCTCCAGAGAACTTTTGGGTGTGATAGAAATCACCTGCATTTTTATTGTGGTAGCTACACAGGTGTATACATTTTTCAAAACTCATCAAACTCTATATTTTACATAGGTGCAGTTTTAGTGTATATAAATTATACCTCAATAAAGTTAATAAAAATTAGGTTTCAGTGAGGGTGAGTTTCCTTGGTGTGGCTTCTTTCAGTGTGAAGGCGTGTGAATGAGAGACAAGTTACCTCCTCCAACACACACACCCACATATTCATCCAACAGTGGTAAAAGAGGGACTAGAGAACTGCAGTAAAATTTCCTATTCAAAAAATGGGAGAAAAGGAGGCACATAGCTATGACTATTCTACGATTCTGATATCCAGCCAAGCATATGTTGCCGGTTTCTTGATTAAGGCTCAGTGCCGCTTCCTGGGAGAGGTCCTTTGTGACTCTTTGCTCTTCTTTGAGCTCTTGACTTTTCCCTTTGAGTTATCTTTATTTTCCTAGAAGAAATGATCTGTGTTTTAAGCTGAGTAGTTTTCTTAGCCTGCTTCCTGCTTGTAGGAATTTGGGGACCCAAATGCCTCTTTTGATTTTGAATTTTCTGTATCTTTCGTATCAAGGCACCATAATTCCTTTAAAAATTTTATGGGCTTCCTGTGTATCAACAGAATGCGGAAATTATTGAACAATATCATTAGTATCACATGCAAGTAAAATTTTGCTGAAGATTATTCAAAAGCATTTACAGCAGTACATTTACAGGGAACTACCAAAAATTCAAGGCAGATTCAGAAGAGGACATGGAACAAGGGATATCATTGCTGATGTCAGATGGATCATGGCTGAAGGCAGAGAATACCAGAAGGATGTTTACCTGTGTTTCGTTGACTATGCAAAAGCGTTTGACTGTGTAGGGCATAACAAATTATGGATAACATTGCAAAGAATGAGAATTCCGGAACTCTTAATTGTGCTCCTGAGGAACCTGTACGTAGACCAAGAGGCAGTTGTTCAGAAAGAACAAGGGGATACTGAGTGGTTTAAAGTCAACAAAGGTGTGTGTCAGGGATGTATCCTTTCACCATACTTATTCAGTGTGTACGCTGAGCAAATAATCCGAGAAGCTGGACTATATGAAGAACACAGCATCAGGATTGGAGGAAGACTCATAAACAACCTGTCATATGCAGATGGCACAAGCTTGCTTACTGAAAGTGAAGATTTGAAGCACTTACTGATGAAGATCCAAGACGACAGCCTTCAATATGGATGACACCTCAACATAAAGAAAACAAAAATCCTCACAACTGGATCAATAAGCAGCATCATGATAAACAGAGAAAAGATTGAAGTTGTCAAGGATTTCATTTTACTTGGATCCACAATCAACATCCATTGAAACAGCAGTCAAGAAATCAAACAGTATATTGCATTGGGCAAATCTGCTGCAAGACCTCTTTAAAGTGTTAAAAAGCAATAACGTCACTTTGTAGACTAAGATGTGCCTGACCCAAGTCATGGTGTTTTCAGTTGCCTCATGCATGCGAAAGCTGGACAGTGAATAAGAAAGACTGAAGAAGAATTGATGCCTTTGAATTATGGCATTGGCAAAGAATATTGGATATACCATGGACTGCCAGAAGAATGAAAAAATCTGTCTCGGAAGAAGTACAGCCAAATACTCCTTAGAAGCAAGGATGGTGAGACTGCATCTCACGTACTTGAGACATGTTATTAGGAGAGATCAGTCCCTGGAGAAGGACATCATGCTTGGTAAAGTAGAGGGTTAGTGAAAAAGAGGAAGACCCTCAACAAGATGGATTGACACAGTGGCTTCAACAATGGGTTGAAGCATAACAATGATTGTGAGGATGGCGCAGGACCAGGCAGTGTTTCGTTCTGTTGTATATAGGGTCGTTATGAATCGGAAGCGACTTGATGGCACCTAACAACAACAGCATGTATCAAATTATAAGCCACACCATTAGACAGAAGCTGTATCCACAAATTTGTTGTAGAGACAGGTCTTCTCTGCTTTGGTCTGAGAGTCAGGGTATAGTGTTACAACACCCTTATGATTCTTAGGGGCCTTATTGTCTAGCAGAATAATTCTAAGAAAGAAATACACCATTGAGTTTTTTTGTAGCCTTTTTGTTTTGCTAAGAGTGTCTTTGAGGCACTGATCAAAGTCTTTCTGAGGTCTTAACAAAGTGTCTTACAGATGCACACTTGAGATTTTGACCCCGAGTCCATGTTTTACTGGAAAAATTTTGGATTTGATCTTTGCCCTGGGATTATTTCTTTCAGAGTCTTTTGTTGGCCAAAGAAATTGAGAATGAAAAATAGTAAGTCCTGAGTTAGAGATATCTTCTCTAGATTCTGCTGTAAAACTGAACCTTTTCTTTTTTAGTTCCCTTTCTATTTCTACCTTTTCCTATGCAGCTAAAATAAAGCATTTGGCACTTTTAACATTTTACCTGGAAATCTCTTCAGCCAAACCAAAAATTTCATTAAGTATGTATTCTATTGTACACATTAACGCAGGTGACAATGTTGCCAAATTTACCACCTCAGCATAATATGAGTTGCCTTTTTTTCCCACCTTCTAATAACATTTCCTCCCTGTCCTTCTAGCCTGTACGGTATCCTTGAGGTCCTCCCAACTTCTGCCTGCTATCTGTTCTTAAAGGGGGTACAACATGTTTAAGGTTTTCGTTAATTCAGCACCCTACTTTTAGGAGGCAGTTTGTTTTTGTTTATTGATTTGTAACAAACTGTCTTTGTGACTAAAATGACAGTGATTTTCTCTCTCCTGACTGTGGGAGACTGAACTGAACTAGGCAGTTGTTTTACTTCAGGTCATTTTGTTTGGGCCTGCACTCATTTGGGGACATGGCTGGAACATTGGAGATAGCTCCATTGCGAATAGCATGGCATGTTGGTGGTGGGGATGGCTAGCAGGTTGGGCTTAGCTTGGTCTCCTTTCTCTCTCTTTCCATGTAATTTTAGAGTCTCCCCTCTTCATGTAGCCTTTCCAGCAGAGTAGCCAGTTTCTACTTACATGGTTGCTCAGGGTTCCCAAAGTGTAGAAGAGGAAACTTCCAGGCCATCTTAAGGCTTAGGCCTGGAACTGGCATAGTGTCATTTCTGCTGCACTCTCTTGAGGAAAGTGAGTCACAGGCTTCGCTCAGATACAGTGTAGAAGGGGACTGTACAAGGTTGTGACAATTGGAAGTGTGGTTCATTGGGGAACCATCTTTGGAGATTAGCTACCACATAACTCCTGGTGGAATGAGAACACCACAGATCAGTTACCAGGAGAACATAAACTTGGCACAGGCCGTGGTTTTGAGACTATGTCTGTATCGTTTGCCTTTCCTGGGCATGCAGGTTCTTTTAAGCCATAGCTTTCAGAAATGGTTAACCAGCCCTGACTTTCACCTTCCTTTCAAGAGCAAGAGAACTCCATCCCAGTCTCTGGTTTCTAGTGGTAAGATTGACTTTGTATTCCCGCTTCGGGGGGAAGATTTTTTTTTAATACTTTATTTGTTGTTGAAAATATACACAGCAGGACATATGCCAGTTCAATTTCTACATGTACAATTTAATGACATTGATTACATTCAAGTTGTGCAACCATTCTCACCCACCTTTTCTGAATTGTTCCTCCCCTACTAGCATAAACTCACTGCCCCCCAAGTTTCCTATCTAATCTTTTGGGTTGCCGTTTTCAGTTTGATCTCATATAGATAGTTCTTAAAAGAGCATAATGCTTAAGGCAGACATTCTTTACTAGTTAAGCTGAACTATTGTTTGGTTTTAAGAAGACTTCAGGGGATTTTTTGGTTTAAAGTTTAAAGATTATTTCAGGGGAATAGTTTTAGGGATTCCTTCAGTCTCCATGGTTTCAGAAAGTCTGGAGTCCATGAGAATTTGAAATTCTGTTCTGTATTTTCCCCCTTTTCATCAAGATTCTTCTGTAGACTCTGATCAAAATGTTCAGTAGTGGTAGCTGGACACCATCTGGTTCTTCTGGTCTCATAGCAAAGAACGGCAGTTGTTCGTGGAGTCAAGTAGCTGCACATTCCATTTCTTCCTCCTATTGCTGACTCTCCTGTTTTCTCTGTTGCTTCAGGCGAATGGAGACCAATTGGAGTACCTTGGATGGCCGCTCGCAAGCTTTTAAGACCAGGTGGGGAACTTTTATTGCCTCTTACTTTTCAAGAGTCACACATCCTACTGTTTCTAGTTGTTTCTGGAAGTAGAGCCATCCTTTTCATTGTGCTGAATTTTTGATCTAACCAAAAGTGGTGTCTTAAGTTCGTTTCTTTGAGTCTCTTCTTTGCTACAGTTTTGATTGGCATTGTTACTATATCTTTAATTATGGTGTTGCCAGTTTCCGATTTTTTTTCTTCCTTCTGGAATTCATATTATCCTAGTGTTAGAAATTTTGAATCTCTACCTTATCTCCTGCATTTTTGTTTACTATATTCATCCCTTTACCTTTTTCTTGGTGTTTTGGAGAATTTCTTGAGCTGGTTTTCTGCTATATTTAATCTGCTTGTTTCTTCTTCCATTGTGGTTTTTAAATTTGGTAATTATATTTTTCATTTATAAGCATATTTTTGTGATTATAGATTGTTCATTCTCTTTTCACATATGGAACGTCCATTTGAATCACATTGAGAATACGAATTAGATACATATTTTATATGTTTACTTTTTTTGTAGTAAGTTTCTTTTGCAGGAGGACATTTGATTGGTCTTCCTTTAGACTCTTTAATCTTATTATATGTCTCATTGCTTATCTCTGTTCATCTTTACAGGGCCAAGTCAGTGTTTTTCTAGTTGGAATCAGATAGATGCTGGGAGAGTGTTTCTGGATTCCTGTTGAGATATTTTAGGGGTAGGAAAAAGTGAAAGGGAAAGATTTATATTTCCTGTAGTTTTACTCTTTAAGAACAATAAAGAGACATTTGGATGTTAGGGAATTTTACTAATGGACTGAAGCTTTTCTGTGTTAGTTTTGGCACCCAGAAATTAATTGAGCCACAGTTCCCCTTTTCTGGTTGGCACAAGTACTATAATCATGAGGTCACTGTGATCATGCCTCCTATACCAATTTCAGGCTATCTTTGTGAGCACCACAGCTTGCTCCTCCGTGTGACAGCCAGCACCTGTTACCCTTCATAAATAAGAGGGTTGAGCTTTGCCTCCCACCCTCTGCCACACTGTTCACCCTGACCTCCAGCCCCATCATCTGAATTTGAGGCCTTTTGTACCCGCTGAGAGTTCCAGTAGTGCAGCTAGAGACAGTCTCATGGCAAGAAATGAACACTGTGCCAAATGTTGTGTGTTCCTTTGGCCAACCAGATTTTAGCAATGATACTGATCTCCTTAGTTGGCTTAACTGCCTTCATTAGGAGCTGGCTTCAGCAATGCCTCTGCTTTCCTTGGCCTTCATTGGAGCATGTCTTAGGGGCAACATACCATATTTTTTTTTGCAAATGATGTGCCTGCATAAAGTGCCCACATAAATAATGCGCCCACACATATAATGCGCATAGTGTGCCTAGGAAAATAATGCGTGAGGAGGTTGTGCATTTGGCAAAAACATACATAATATGTGCATTATTTGCATAAAAATACAGTAATTTATTTAGTTTTGGACATGTTGAATTGGAGGTAGGGCTATTCAGTTCTTATTTGTAGTGGATTTGGAGGTCAAAAGAGCAGTCAGGCTGGATGTAGATTTGGTAATCAGCACTTCTCATTATTTGAAAAACTAGTCGTATATTGGATCATCCAGGGAAAGCATGTAAAATGAAAATAAATGAAGGTAGAGATGGAACCCTGGGATATGTATGGGGTGGGCAGAGAAAGAAAGGCTAATGAAGATTACTGTGAAGGAGATTTCTGAAGGATAGGATGAGAAACAGAGAAAAGTGGTTCTGTGGGGCCATTAAATGCAGCATCTTTAGGACACCATGTCTGATGTCTTAGTGAGATCAGCCAGCAGTATGTAACATTGTTGATGACTTTACTTACAGCAGTTTCAGGGTGAGTAGAAGTCAGAATGTAGTCGATTGAAAAAATATATGGCCGGTTAGGACATGAATCTAGTAACTTTTTTGAAAATATATTGTGAAGAGAAAGGTACAGGGCAGCTAGAGTGATTTAAAAGGGGGTGTTGTTTTATGTATGCACCCTGTGTAATAAATAGTTAAATGTTTCAGGCCTCTTTTTTTTTTATTAATCTTTTCAATGAGAAGAATTACTTTTAATATTTAAGCATTTTTCAATTTTTAAATATAGCTCTTTTTATGATTGTGTAATCTATTCTTAAAGAAGAAAGGGCCACTGCTTAGTATGATATAGCAGGTTGCCAAGTACTGAGCTTTATATGTTATATCAGCTGAAGCATATTGGCTGATGAAATTATTCTTAAAATATTACTTTACCTATTTTTCTCATTTGCTTTTAACTATTTGGACATCTGGGATACTGAGTAGGAGTATAAAACAATAGCTCTCTCTCGAAACCAACTTTTTCAGGCATTCTAAATTATTTAATAACTAGTCTGAGGAATGTTGGTGGCACAGTGGTTAAGCATTCCACTGCTAACCAAAAGGTCCCCAGTTCGAATCCACCATCCGCTCTTTGGAGACCCTATGGGGCAGTTCTACTCTGTCCTGTAGGGTCACTGTGAGTTGGAATCGACTCAACGGCAACGAGTTTGGTTTGTTTTTTTTCTGAGGAACATTACTCTGTCAATGTTACTATCAAAAAGCACATTCATTTCAATCTTGTCTTTTTGAAATAGTATTTTGTCTTTTGGGAATACTTAGTGTGGCCCACAGTTTGTGAAGGAAATCTTGATATGATTTTGTGGTTGAGAGTTAGGGACTTGAAGTCATTATGTAATAGTTGCTGTTTCATATATCTTAAAGCAGCTTGTCAGAGAATAGCTGTTCATAATCATGGAACTTTCACTGAAGTAGATTGAATAAAAATATATGAGGGACTCCAGGCTAAAGTAGGATGTTTGAGAATGGTTGGAGAAGAGGTTTTTTTTTGGTTATTGTTCAAATCCATTTGGAAGTTTAAACTAATTTCCTGCTTACCACATTTTACCTGAATTAGCATGGTGTACAATAACTTTTTAATAGAAGACTGATACATCAGCAGTTTCTGACACAGTTTCTAATTCACATTTTTAGCTACTTGAAGGTTTTGCTGTTTTATACATTTTAATCCAAAAAAACTTGATGATCTTTTCAAAACAATTATTTTCTTTGAGTATCTGCTTCATTTTCTTTCTGCCTACACTTAGGAAAAGGCGAAAGGAGTAGAAAACATTGAAATATATGTTGTTTAGTATGATCCCACTTAAGAATAACATTTGTAAGCCAGTATGTGGCATTTAGGTGACACTGTATTTATAGTTTAATCAAAATGAATCAGCATGTGAGAAATGTGTTTATTATTTGTATTTTCTTTTTCTTTGCTATTGATGCATCAAGGAGCCCTGGTGGTACAGTGGTTAAATGCTCGGCTGCTAACCAAACGGTCAGCAGTTCAAACCTATCGCCACTCCGAGGGAGAAAGATGTGGCATTCTGCTTCCATAAAGATTACAGCCTTGGGAACCCTATTTGGCAGTTCTACTCTGTCCTGTGAGGTCGCCATGAGTTGGAATCGATGGCAATGGGTTTGGTTTTCTGTTTTTTGATACACCATTTTAATATAAACAATCAAATCATCTAATTTCCAAAAGAAAAAAAAATTGGAAATTCTGAGTTTATATATTTTGTGTTCTCTGAATTCCCAAATTCTGATTGTTGCGATTTTGGTCTGTTAGTAGGGAACAGTACAGTGGGCAGCTCCGAATGAGATCGCATTCTGTGAGTCCAGCCTACAGAGAAGATGGAGAAGATGTTACCCCGAAGATTGCTGTAAGATCACATTTTCCTTTTGTTTGTTTATTTGTTGTTTTAAACTAACTCCACAAAGTTTTAGTTTCATATTGCCAAGATGCCAGTGATTACTTAAGAACAATGAATAAAGTCTGAAGGTTTTAGTGACATCCTAACGTCAAACGAAGTGTTGGGTTTCATGTAACCCACAATATTCATTCTGCTTTCTCAGTGATTCTGAGGCCTTATGTTAATCAATCTATCGTTTCTCATGTGCTTTGAAGAATAACTTTGAAAAGGTTTGTGTTTTAATTGTTGTTTTCCTTTTCTCTTTTATTCAATATATGTATGAAATGATCAGATATCTAGTAATCGTAAAATTAATAAGAAATTGGGATTAACTTGTAGCAAAGTAGGGAATGCAGTCTCTGGGTGGTGCAAGCAGTTAACGCACTTGGCTGGTAACTGAAAAGTTGGAGATTTGGGTCCACCCAGAAGCACCTCAGAAGAAAGACCTGGTGATCTACTTCCATAAAATCTGCCGTTAAAAACCCTATGGAGCACAGTTCTACTCTGACACACATAGGGTTGCCATGAGTTGTAATTGACTCAGTGACAACTGGTTTTCATTTTTGAAAGTAGGGAACACTGTTTTTCCAGTGGAGATGAACTGTTTATATCTTCAACTGTCAATGTCTCTTATGCATCTAATTGCTTAACGTAGCTTTGGTTTGAACAAGGTGCTAATGAGCATGCCAGTTAATTTTGTAAAGAAGAACTTTGTTTACTACAGTTTATATGACTTAACTTTGACTTGTCTTGGGTTACGTATGAGTTTTGGTTACAAGACAGATCCTGTGTGATGCATGGTTGTCTTAACACATGTTGATCTAGACGTAACTCGTGGTATTTTCTCCAGTGACGGTTTAAAATGTTAAAACAAGTAAATATGTAGGGCAGCACATTTTAAATAGTTGTTGGTTTATTATCAATCATTATATTTACTCAAAATAAAACAAGACAGGTCCATTTTCTTACTTAAGTTCTTGTTCACAAATAAAAATACATAAAAAGTAAGAGACCACCAGGAGAAGCATTAATGAATTTTAACATAGTATATAAAGACTGAAAGTCAACATTTTATTGATTAGAAATTTGGAAACTCAGTAAAATATGCTAAGATTTTAGTGCATTTTTCATCACTTGAGATAATTTAAATGACTCAAAAGTAAATAGGTTTATTTGGTAGTAATGAGGTTTCTGGAGCCCTGATGGCACAGTGGTTAAGGAGCTCGGCTGCTAACCATAGATCGGCAGTTCGAATCCACGAGCCGCTCTTTGGAAACCCTTTGGGGGCAGTTCTTCTGTGTCCTGTAGGGTCACTATAAGTTGAAATTGACTCGATGGCAAAAGGTTTTAATGAGGTTTTCTAAAGCATGACATTGCTGTACCAACAGAGTTAATTTCAGAATAATTTTTGGGGGCTGTAGAATAATCTTAACCTAAAGAATATTATTTTACACAGATAATAACCTTTCTTAATTTTTAGAGCTTTCAGATCAATGTTCATTACTGCGCATAGATCTTGGGCTGGCCTTGATTAATTACACTTTCAATCTGGCTTGATGAATGGTTAGTATAATACATTATACAGGAGAAAAGAGCCTGGTTTTTGTTTTTTTTTTTAAATCACCATAATTATGTTTTTATGATGTGAATCGAAAGCTTATTTCTCTTAATATTCAGTGTATGAAGGAGAATTAATTTAAGAACAAAGAATTTCTTAGACATCAACACAAAACTTCCCTGTTAACTAATCCTAAGGAGAGTAAATAATTCATCTTTTCAAGTGTTCCTCCTGCCTTCCCCCCACCTTCACCCTTTTTAAAGCTACTGTGGTATACCACAATTAAAACTTTTTGTAAAAGAACTTAAAGGGAAGAGTCTGGATTAATTTTTAAAATATTCTTCTGATTTTTTTTTTTTTTTTAATTTTAAATTATTAGTTGCTGTGTGAATGTATTGTGAAGGCATCTCATAGCCCTAAGCAACTGTAACAGTCACTACTCAGAACTGGGAACTCTAACATGGTTGTAACATTATCCTTTCCTCTGAGGGCAATATAGTATTACCAAAACTCACACACAAAACTTTCATTATTCTGAATGACATATATTTTGTTTTAATTTTTCTTCCTTCCTTCTTGCCTCCCTGCCTCTTTTCTTCCTCCCTTTCTCTCTTGTCCCTCCCTTCTCTTTCTTTCTCTCGCTTTTGTATTTCAGGAAGATCATTTGAAAAAATCTGCTCTTTCTTTGGATGACAGTGACATTGAAGCTCGCCTTAATAGTTGGAATCTTGGGGTAAAAAAAGTGTCTGTTGTATATATGTATACATGTATATTGATGTGGTAGATTCATACTGTATTTGGATAACATCTGAACAAATTTAATTATATTCAGTAAGTATTATTGGATTTAATTATATTCATTGTATATTATTGGACATTTAGTACTTTGTTAGCACTGTGATGGACTTGGCGTAGAGGAAGGCAAAGTAACATTCCAAAGAAATTGTGAGGCAACGTGTTGGTGAAATAAGAGCTACATATAAAAAATAGGTAAATAATAATTGAAGATAGTATATGTCGATACACAAACATGAGTTGTACAGAAAGTAGAGTATTTGGGGGAGTGGAGGGAAGGGAGGACTCAAGGAAGCAAGAGCATTATTTGGGTTAAAAAACTTAAGGAGACTTCATGGCTGAGCAGCCATTACAGAGAGCAGTTTTCATATCCAAAGGCTGAGGGGCATGAAGGTATTTGGATAGGTGGAGAGAAAGGAAGATAAGGGTTCAGGGCAGAAATAGGCATGAGGGAAGGTTTGGTACTGTGAGCTAACTCTCATGATTGGATCCTTGGGATTTATATGGGGGGTTAGTGGGCAGTGTTGTCAGGCTGGGCTGTATTGGAACTTTGAATGCGAAATTAAGTTTAGCTTTTATATTTGAGGCAATAGTGTGCCGTGAGGTTTTTTTTTTTTTTTTCCTTCACATTCCACTTTACATATGTGGCATTTAAATGTTTTGAGGAAATTAAAAAGGTTTAATTTTTTATCACACTGTTTTGATTACAGAAATAATTTGTAATTTTAAAATCTGAAAAATTACAGAAAACCAGAGGAAGAAAATATATCTTAAAAACTTAACAGTGGGAGAAGCGTTAACATTTTTGTTGTATGTATCTTTCCATCCTTTTTTTTCTGTGTGTTTATAAAATTAAACAACATTTAAACAATTTTATTATAGATTTTGTTTTATAATGTGCTATCTTGAACTTTTATAAGAATTCTGTAAATGTGAATTTTAATGCTAGCATCAACTTCTTTGGGATGGATATTCTGTAATTTATTTAAATATTTTGCTATTTTTAGACAGTTAGGTTACTCCCAGTTTGTTGATAATATTGCAATAACATTCCTTTAAGAATCTTTTTATACATATTTGGTTGTTTTTTTAGGTTATATTACAGCTTTGGTATGTTGTTCTCCAGAAGATTTGTACCAATTTATTCTTAAACTAGCAGGGTATAACAGTGTACATTTCCCACTTCTTCACTGACATTAGAGGTTACTGTTTAAAAAAAAACAAAAATCTTCCTACTCGTAATGGTCTTCAATGATATCACTGTTTTAGGAAAATTGACTTGGTGGCATTGTGAAGGTTGTATTGGATATGGGTAGAAATGGAGAAAGGGAACTAATGAAAAGATGTTTATAGTAGTAGACCCCACATTGTTGTGATTTCTGTGGCAGTGGAAAGGGTAGAAAGGACAAACTTCACAGAGTAAAGCATGCTTAGTGACTGACTGGAGGGCACCTGAAGTTTTGGTTCTGGGAACTGAGAGTGTTGGTTCACTGGCAGTTAATTGACTGTCAGATGGGGAACCCACTTTAGGAGTTTAAGAGTTTTATTTTAGACTGGTTCAGTTTGAAGAGATGGTAAATTAATTGTGGCATTCAGGGCTTAGTGCTTCATGAGACTCAAGGGCTGGAGGCCTATTTCGGAGTCTCACTGCTAGAAGTGGTAGTTGCAGCCAGAGGCTGGAACAGCTCTTGTCTTTGGAGAGGACAGAGATTGAGGAGGGTTGGGTGAGAGAGGCTCATGGAATGGCCACAATTAGAAGTTGTGAAAATGGATAGGAAATGAAGGTAAAATGCATTTCCTGTTCATTCTGGTAGTATGATAGTGAAAGAGAAGAGAGAGAGAGAATTTATAATGAGTGAGGAATAGTAAGTAAAAACAGAATAACCCCCTCCGTCCCATTTTTACGTTTGAAAGCATAGGGGAAGTTGCCTTTAGGGGGAAGTCCTAAGTTACCAGTGTGGGAGAAGCACAGGCAATTCCTCAGAAAGACAAATTCTTTTTGCCAAAGAGCAACATCAAAGTGAAAAATAAAATTCTGGAACTATCCTTTTAAATTTGCCTTTGCCCTTAGTCATTTGAAACTTCTGATGTACATTTCTCAGCACACAGAGTACTTTTCGTGATTATTTACCTGTTCAGAGGATTAAATCTTTCATTCATGTAATAAAATTGACAGAAAACATCTAAAATATTTTGAGGTAATGCCTTAAAACTAGGCCTGCCTGGGGTTTTGTTTCACATTTTTATTGTTCAAAGAATGTACTAACAGTGTAAAATATAAAAGTCTTGCATTTTTATATATTTATGACATATGCATTAATCAGGCTGAACTATATCTCTTGATCATAGTAGAATAATTTAAGTATCCAGTGTATTAGAAAGTAGATTTTGCTTTGATTTTAGTTTTGTATGAGAACGAGAGACTGCCTTTTTTTTCCTTTTATCCTCTGAAGGATCATTTATTTGCTAGAGTTATTTTTTGTGCTCTATACTAAGAGTACATTTTTTTAAAATATGGCTGACAGCACTATCAACACCTTCATTTTGATACTTTCAATGTTCTAGAATTGAATTTTCTAGTTTTTTTTTCTCATTAAACAGTCAGTACACATATTGTTTTATGACATTGGTTAACAATCCCACGACATGTCAACACTCTCCGTTCTCCACTTT